TAAATCAATTACTTTGATGTCAAAGCTGTTATCCGATCTCCCCCCCCCCCCCCCCCCCACACACACACAAAAAAAAATTATGATTTTTAATTGTATGGAGAAAGGAACATATTTCGGAAGTGAATTGGATGCTAAATTCGTCTTACCAGTATACTCTAACAAACTTTTTTGTGAACACTCTTTTTCCTACAAAGTTTACACATACATAAAGAACTAAACGGATCTGTAAACTAGTATTACTGAATCGATTACCTCCTTTTTGTTTCCGGGCCTTCAAGGTATACATAAATAGATTAAAAAATACACAAAAACAATAGAACATTTTTTTAGAAAAAAAAATTTATGCGAGGATTAATGGACCTATACCGGAGTCGCATATCCGCTGTGTAGCGGTAGCAGGCACGACCGACCGCATTTTCTGTTGGCGCTGTCGTGACCGCACCTGCAGAGCCGGGAGGTTGTACAGCATCTAAAATGCAACACGCCGTAAGTTTGTCCCGTCTTCGGCTGCAAAAATACAGGCATAATTGCTGGTTATTGATTTTCTTTTCTTTTTTTTTTTCTTTTGACTACCCAAAAAAAAAAGTTTTTTGTGTGTATGCGGAGTTTTTTTTTTTTTCTTTCTTTTCTTTAACAAATGATGCCGAACATTTGCGGAAAAGGCTCACTACATACAACTTAATTCCATTGTTCGTTTCAAACAGACAATGACAAGTATCTTTCGCTCGTTATTTTGACGCTGATCTGACACTGAAAACAACAACGCGCGGACCTCTCTCAGAACAATTCTCCCCGGTGCTTATATTAACGTCACGGTATGCGTAACCCAGTTCAGCCGCAACAATGGCTCAAAAAATGCGACCCCCCCCCCCCCCCCAAAAAAAAAAAAAAAAAAAAAAAAAAAAAGATGAAAGAAAGGAAGCAAATAGGCGGAGATAGAAGACCCGAAACTGATGAGATAGAAAATGGGAAGAGCGCTCGGCGCGGCGAACGAGGTCAAAGCCGTCCAGAAACAATTTAGAGTGGATCAGCTCTGACCCAGTCACCAAGTCGCTGAGTGTCTCTCGCAGCGACGGCCTTGACGCAGACCCCCTCCTCTTCTTCTCTCCGTGGCAGCGGAAAGCCTCGAGCGATTCTGCTCGGGGATTACGGGATGACCTTTACGTAACTTTTGAGTGAAGCGCTTATGTGGGGTGACCGGGGGCGCGCTCGGAGCTAAATTTGCCCAAACCTGTCCGAGACTCCAGATGTGAGGGACCTGCCGAGGCGGCTCGAACAGATGACGTGTTCTCGATGGCGGTTTCTTGAACCTGCGTCTTGCGAAGCTTCGCCGGACAGCCGGACATTGCGCGGCGCTGTTAACGTGAACGCTACACCGGCCTTATTTTTTTTTCTTGCCTTTCTCTTCAAAAGGGTATTGGCGGACAGCAATTTCTATCGCTTAGGATGGTGACCCGATAGACCAGGGGTGGCCAGAGTGACAGTGGGTTAGAGTCGCAGATAAATCTGCAAAGTTTTAAAGAGCCGCAGAAAAAAGAAAGGGGGGAAGGGGGGGAGTGTAGTCTACTTTTAACAAGAAACGGTATGGAAGGAACAGTCTTTTTAAAAGGGGAACCATAGCCTCCTATATACTGACAAAGCCTGGCAGATCGCCACGAGAAGTGGCCGCCGAAATGGAAAAGGTGGAGCGGCAGACAACGAATGAGAGGAGAGCCACGTGACTGGCGCCCCGCTGCGGAGAGCCGTCGAAACGCACTTCTCCCGAGCGAACAAGTGTGTTTCGGGTCCTCGCCGCTGCAAAAGCTGTGCGCTGACGTCCAGGTTCCCCGAGAAATGCTCTGCGGCTACCAGAGCCTCGTGCTCCAAATCTGCGACCGGCCACTCTATGGCTCCGTCGTCGAACTGCCAGGCTTTGTGAGTATAGCGGCGGCTATGGGGGAACGGTATAATTCTCGACTACAACAAATAACACCAGGCAGCAGAATGTTTCTTTTCAACCGCTAAGCAATTATAATTGCAATGATTGCAAGCTCACCCCCTTTTGCGCGAATCCGGAGAAAAGCTCACCAGTTTTTGACAAAACCGGAGAAAAGCTCACCTCAAATTAAATATTATGTAAAGTGGTGCTTAAATTTATAGCAGAAGTGCTACCAAAGTTTTAGACGTCTCTCACACAGGCGGTACACCGTGCCACAGAGGTGGAGCGAAGCGATTTTTCGCATTTTACTAAAAGAAGGGGTTGATCGGCGTTAAACTTTTATCGCATAAGTTTGTGCCCCGAATGAGCGATTTCCACCCCAGTAGTAGCATATAAGAAAAAAATTCGATCGTTCGTTCATATTGACATCGCACTTCATATCAGGTCGCTCTGTTGTAAGCAAAATGAGAAAAAAAATAATGAAAAAAGTTGTTTTATTGAATTCGGATTTATTTCACCTTAATCAGACTAATATCGTTTCAGCTATAAATACTGATTATTTATCACTATACGCATTTTTAGACACGGCAGGTTGTTTGATCAATTCTTCCGATTGGTGTAAACAATGCGGGAAAAAAAGAATTCCTACAATTTTAACAATGTTTTGTTCATGAAAACCCCGCCATACTAGAAAAAAAACGGCTTAGGTCTTTGTTAGCGAAAAGACCGTATTTATACTTTTTTTTTTTTTTTCGCGATCTGATTTTCTTGCAATACGACGTTGCTTTCCCAGTTTTTGTTTCTATCTTTTGCGTTCTGATTTGATTGCAAAAAAGATTAGATGTAACTGAAGAACGGTTTGCTCCAAACACCCCTGCTTTTTGCTCCTGTTCAGTCCAATATAAATATTTCTTACGTGATGATTTTTTGATTGAAATACAGGACATGTGCGGGTATTGAAAAATGCATCAAATGATAAGCAAACGGTAAATAAAAAAATATATTTTGTGGATTATATTCGATAGAAAGGTTTGATTTAAATCACCCTAATAAAACCGGCCTGATTTAAATTACGATTTAATACATCTTGATTTTCATTCTCCACCCTGGCAGCAGCCCTAGTTCCGATTTTATGTCAACCCATTTGGCGTATGCATTTAGTCCTGCGTATCCGGGATAGGAGGAAATAGGACCTTCCTTTATTTTCCGTTGGACTGAAGGAAGATTTAAAATTCTGATTCCTAAACAAACGGTGGAATGTGGAGATTTTGCAATGCGGTGTCGGTATACTACATAAAAGAACATTTTATAAATAAATATCCAGAAACTACTCAAGCTGCAGCCCTCTACTCTGCTTATATTTCCCCCGCTATGTTTTCTAACTAGTGTTATATTGAAATTGGTTGTTTTATTTGCGTCAGGCAACCCTTGACGTGTTACAGGACGTTATTTGAGAAGTAAATTCTGCTAGTGAAGTGGAGAATGACCGCATGCACATGAAGCATCCCAGCATACTTCAGGCGAGTGAACGATGTCACATGAGTGAATGCTCGAGATTCATGGGTGAGGTGTTCTCCCTAACCGTCAAAAGTCCGATGGTTTTCTCCCGTGAGCTTTTCTCCGCCGCCTGGTGTGACACCCTGTCACTACACTAAGGTGCGGTGAGACGCTTCGTGCCCCGAAGAGAGGCAATTTTGCTTGATGGGTGTTTTGAAAATTCCCTATTGCTGGGGCGAATTTAAGAAAGGGGGGGGGGGGGGGTAGATAAACCCCTCCCCTCCCCTCCCCCCCCCCCACACACACACATTTCTTCTGAGCTTCCCAGTGACATATTATTTATAAGAAAAAACAAAATACACCACTGTTTTTGTTTGTTTTTTCACAATGAATTTTTTTTCTTGAAATGGCTAATTTTAGGTCATCGAATTGCATCTGCGAAACGCTTCACCCGTAACATCACCTCAATCTGTCACGTCAAATACCTCCACAGTTCTTTCCTCCTGCATCTATCCTAAAGCATGAAGCATAAATTGCCCCCTGCTGTTGGCCTACACTCATGATTATGGAAGCCAAAGCGAAGAAAAATAATCTATGAAATAGCTCGGGTTCTAGGTCTATGAGGTGCATATTCGTCAGTGTGATGCAAGAGCAATCATACTAAATATAAAGTATAGTTCTTGAGATTTAGTTAATATTTATATATTTATTAAATGTATTAATATTTAGTAACTATAACATATATGGATTAAACATAACGCTGCCTCTCTCTTTCTTAATCCGGTCTCTCGTCCTTTACACCGTTTTAATTCTAAGTGAGTCATCTATAGAGTCCAAACTTGCAGTGTTTTTGTCATTATCGTTAATATTTACCGCTAATTTATGGTGAGCAGTGTATTCTACACTGCTATGTTGTGAGATAAATTAATGTATAGTTCTCATTTAGGCGTAATACCCAAGGAATCAATTGTTCACAGGATTGAAGACGCAATAAACGTAGAAGGTCATCGTGACTCCAAATTGACAATTTTGGTTTGAAGTATTGGCACAAATGCTAGTAATATTTTTGTTATATATCCATGCTTCCATGGTTTCTGTTTAAAAAAAAAAAAAAAAAAAAAACGAAAAAGATTAGCCGTAAAGCGTTAGAATATTCGGATTTATCCGAAAAACAACCGATTCACAAAATCGCGATAGAAAAAGAAACAAAAACAATTCGCATAAGTTTTGTCGCTAGCTGTCCGGAAGAGAGGTCGACTAACAAAACGCCAGCTTATCTTTTCAAAGGAATGAACAATAAAGCGGTTTCCTCGATATTGAGGTCACCATGTTGACATCCGGACCGTCACTTTCACCGCCCGCACCACAAAATGCAGACCGGGTTGTTGAACCTTTCACACATAGAACGCACTCCACGGTTCTGAGAACATGTCCAGGTCCGACCGCCCGCCTCCCCCCTTTCTCCGTTTGTTAGCAGTGTACTTACCAATGTCACGACCTTGCTTAACCCCATTCTTTTTTTTTTTTTTTATCTACTTCCACCCTCCCTTCTTAGAAACTGATTCTTCACCGACAAGTTACCCCCTCGCCCAAGCAAGCAAGACGTCCAGAGCGCCTTGGAACCTCTCACCCTTCTATCCACCATTGTGTACTTTGTGCTTGGACAACGACCTTGTGGGCCTTGGGAAGCTTCCGGCCGCAAGACCCATGGTGCAGCCAATGGCAGCGCTTCGAAGAAGGGGAAGTGTGCGGAGGACGGCGGACCACTGAATCGTGTCCAGTGTTGGGTCGTGTGCACGTGCGGTGAAGATCTCTGGCAGTTCGTGGAGGGCATCGTACTGAACGGCGGATCTCGGCTGCTTCTTGACCTTCGCCGGCTGCGGGCGCTTTGTGCCACGGCAAGACCTGCACGTCCTCGCCATCACTTGGATTCAGCAACTATGACAAAGGTAAGTCGAAGGGGATTTGTGGTTAATAGTTTGACTAGCGATACGCGGATAGTTGGTTTTAGGTTGAATAGACGTTCGCTGGAAGAACCTTCAATACAAGTGTCCCCTTTTTATTTATTTTTTTTTACTTATTTGTGATTTGTAATGCGTTCAGTTAATTATTTCTGTTCTAACTCCTCGTTCACCTTTCGGACCTGCTAATAGCCGACTTTTTCTGAAATCATTTTCGCAACACTGCCAGATGGCGTCAAATTTTGCTTTATAAAAAACGCTGGGTTATTTTTTTTTTATTTATTCTGGAGTTTTCGCCAACTTTTGCCTCACACTTTCGTCTTACATCATTCACTTCACTTGCATTCGCGTTCAGCGGCCCTTTTAGCGCTCGTCCGCCGGAATGCATAACCCGCGTTCCGGCGTGTTTTCTGCGAAAACTAGGGTTCCGTGTTTTAGATAAAAACCGATAAACTCCGAAAAATAACCCAAAAGCATATTTATCAAATCCGGAAAAAATAAAAAAGCAAAATAAAACTTTCCCCGAGGAAGATAAATTATGTTAACTACGATCTTTTCTAGTTTGGTTCATTCCGGTTTCGCGCGTGTTTCCTAGAGGTCGAAAAGTCACACACCATGTTCTGTTATTTTTTTTTTAATATCCGAAATTTTTTTTTTTTTACGAAAACAGACACCCAATTTGTGTAATAACAATGTAAGTCCCTCAAACACACACATAATTTAGCTTTAACCTTTTTCATTGATTTTTTTCGTTTATTTTCTTGTCTTCTTTTTTTTTAATTATTCGTTTACTAACCGGCTTTCGTTGGATGCTTTTTTGGGGCGTCTACACTTAGTGGCACCGGTCGCGCTAATGCTGCTTTTGTCTGGCTGATTTGAAAGTTCAGGGTCGTGTGTATAAGCAAGCAGATGCGGCCCGCGATTAAGGCCCGCCTAGAGTGCCTTCATGTCTCCCTAGGCCCGCCTGACTTCGTCGCCAGTCCTGTCGCGTACTACGGAAATCCTGGCGGTCACATTGTCGTACCGGCCAGAACACACTCTAGGATGCGCCCGTGAAACTAGTTCATCGGGTTCACCATCTCTTGTTCGCGGGTGGAGAACGTCTTGTCAGAATCGTTCTTATCGGTCGTTCCGCGTTCCAAGGGTAATATCCACACAGCTATTGCTGCGATTTTCGACTGTCAAATTCGAGCGAAACAGTTGTGGTATCTGATAATCGTTCTGAACTCCTGCTCAGCCCAAAATATGTAAGTGTGTTAGTGCAAGCTACATACTTTCGAATAACTTTCCGTCTCACCTTGGCATAGAGTGCAGCAAGCTTTTTCATCTATCCCTTTTGCCTGTTGCCTCTGTGACTCCAGGTTCTATCTATGCAGTGGAAGTAGCCGAATGAACCGCAACAGTCCTAACTGCAGCACATGCTTAGCTGGGCCTTCGACGATGTGAGGGATAGGGCCCTGATAGTAGGGGAGTGTCTATGTGTGGTCATGCTCACAATTTGCATAGGAAGGCTGGATGTCTAGGCAGTTTACTGATTAAAACATGAAATAATTTTTAACGCTACTCCAATACCATAATTTTGACCGTCCGTCCGGTTATTTCCTGCTAAATTTAGTGGAAAAATTGATATCACGTGAAATGATGTCACGGGACATTCGGACCAATTCAGTGTGACAGCTCAATTTAGGAAAAACTTGACGTAACGTACCCTGTGCACCTATTCAGTTTCCCCGCAAAATTTAGCTGGCAAATTCGTCTTGTGGCCGCATTGAGTTTCTCCGCTACATTTACCGGGAAAAATCGACGTCAAGTGGCCTATAGGCCTCTTACTTCTTTTATTTTCTTGAGGCCCCACATTCTTTATGTATATAATACCTTCAGAGCGAGTGGGGAGCCCGTAAATATGCTTGACTAAGATTCGTCGTCCTATTTGTCTCATTTCAGGACGCTGAGTCGGATCCGCCGTCTCCCACCGTTTCTGACGACGATGATGCCGATTACCACAGCGCGTTCCTTGACCACAACCTGGTGCAGTTGGCAGAGCAAGAACTGCGCGAGACGCCGGCAAGGCGCCAAAGGGATACTCAGATACTCAGGGAGATGATTCGATGTAAGTGTCGTCCTTCCTTCCCGACTGCTATCTATCGCCTTGCGAGGTTTCTGGTCATGTGCGTAATGATTTCTTTTTAGATTTGTTTGATAGCGTTTATAAGTTTGAAATTAGGTTACGCACGACGTCATGCACGTCGACCCGAAATGGCTATACGCACGGCGCGAAGAGCTCATGCCGTTTGTGTCGTCCTTCTCGGAGGCACAGAGGGGGACGGCGTTTGTTTCTTAGCTTTTGAGATTGTTCTCTGTCTTGTTCCTCATTTGCTCTGTCTGCTCTGCTTACCTCCATCCCCCCCCCCCCCCTCCCCACCGCTTCCGGTAGTGTCGATATTGGAGTCTTTAGAACAGCCAAAGACTCGGGTTGATGTTCTTCTTTGTATACACGCGCAGCAGCGAAGCTCCTTGGCTGCCATCCGAGCTGCCATGTCATCGGCAAAAAAAAAAAAAGGCTTTCCAAGCGAAATACGACAGAACACTGCAAAATTAAGATTAAAACCACAAGCGAAGGAGAACGGAGAACAAAAAAAAAACAGGATAAAAAGCGAAGAGATATGGAAAGCGGAAAGCGAAGACATAACGATAACAGAGAGCACAGTGATGAGCACTGACGAGTACGAACAGGAAGGAGTACGAACAGGAAGGAACAGAGGAGGACCTAATTGCTGTGCCCGCGAGTACATATGTATATAAAAAAACGACGCTAATGTTGCTCTAAAGTAAGCAGAGAGCTTCATGAATAGTATTACATTTATTCTAACTGATGAATTCCTAAATAAGAGTATCTATTTTTTGTTATTTTCGTAGTCGTCAGTGAACGCTGTCGACGAGAGTAGGCAGTTAAGGAGTTAACGGAGTTGTTGGAACTCCTTTGATCGTAAATATCATTCACCCCGAATTACATTTTACTTGCGCGTCTGCCACCGCCTAATTGACATTTGAGTTAAAGGACATTTACTCCAAACGCCTTCAAGACGCCCGTCTAACATGGGTATAAGTGCACACTTCTGTTGAGTCTCAAATTCTCGGCAATTTGGCTATTCCGCAGGTCATATTTTTGTCTTGCGCCGTGACCGGAAGCGGCTACGTGGACGACGCAAAACTTAGTCTCGCCTTGTATACGGGCATTTCACAGCGTTCAAAGTTGATTATGCAATTAGTGAAAAAAAAATGAATTCGACAAAACGTTGCAGGGGCATGTGTCCACAAAACGCCGCAGTGACCACAGAAACACCACAGTTGACATGTGTCGACACGTGGACACATGTTGATGGAAAGCGCGAACGGATGTTGACGTTTCGTGGACACAGTATTGACGAAACCTGTCCACGTTTCGCCGACACTGTGGTGTTTCGTCCACAAGTTCTACACAAAACGTGTTTTCGCGACAGGTGTTTCGACGGAACGATAGGGACCCAAAATCCATCACATATTGGTGTGAGCTCCGCGTCGTGCATATAGCCATTTCCAGTCTAGGTGCACGTCCTGTCTTTTTGCTTTCTCTTGTTACATTTATAGTTCTCGCATTTCACCTCGACGAGTCAAGACAAAAAGTAAAAACAATTATAAAAGAAAGTGTTGGTATTTGTTTCTCTGTCTACTACAAATCGGAGCGAACATACCATCCCCTGATGGAACAGCATTGCCTCTTTCTCCTTGTAAGCAGCATAGACTCAAAAGCAACAGTGTCCAATTGTACTGAATAGGGGGGCTACTTTTTACTGAATGGGTATTGACCATAAGCGTCCTTTTGTGGGCCATCCAGCGTTCAAGGGGTGGAGTTTCCCTTCCCGAGGGCGGAGGCTGTGCTAACCCATACTACGTCCCAAAGCTTTTTTTTTTTTTTTTTTTTTATTGTGGTCCGTAATTTTTGTTTTAATAATAAATTGAAATAGAGCGAGTATTTTGTGGAGTTTTGCTTTGGTGAAACCGGGGGGGGGGGGGGGGGGGGGGGGAGTAACCAGACGGTGGTGAATTTGTTTTCTTTCATCTAATTGTTGCTTTTCTGTTACAGGTGAGCGTGACCTGGACTCTCGGACGGACAACGCATTCTTGGTGCGATTTCTCCGGTGCCGGAAGTTCGATTGCAGCCGGGCCTACAAGGTGCTCAAGCAGTACTACAAGCTCCGCTGCAACAACGCCCAGCTCTTCGTCAACTTCTACCCGTCCTTCCTCAAAGAGACGTATGACCACAACCTCCAGACGATCCTGCCGGACAGGGACCCCAACGGCTGCGCCGTGTTCATCTTCAAAGGAGGCAAGGAAGATTCGGGTTCCTGTTAAGCCGACATTCATGTCGTAACGCACTATGATACAAGTATACAGTACCTTGCATGGGGCGGTAGCTTGCAACACCTATTGCTACAAACATAGAATTCTGGGCGAGTTGGTAAGGCATCGAAACGAGAAAAACGGACCAGCAGACAAGGCGCTGACTTACTACTGAAATTTAATAGGAAACACATAAAGGCCGCGAATCACCCGCCCAATCCACTACGCCACGACCAAACACACCACGCTCCCATTGGCAGAGGCACTCTATCTTTTTCTGATACAAGGCCACAGAGGGCGCACCGACACAGGTGTCCTCCCTACATAGGGATATGTAAAAGATAAGTGAATGGTCGACTGAGGGAGCATGCATTATCTTCGAGATCGTCCCCTCACAATCATTTGGCGATACTTTGTGACAGGTGTGGGTGTGCCCTTAAGTTTGAAGAAACAACAATAATGATGCAACACATCATAAGGGCGAGAAAGATAACGGAGGCGTTTGATACGTCACGATGTAGGGACGGCATCTGTGTCAGCGCGCCCACTGCGGCCCTGTATCAAATTAGTGGACTGTTCGGGTGTTTCGCGGCCTTTATGTTTTTTTCCTGTGATATTTTAGTTGTAATTCGGCGTCTTTTCTGTCTGTATCTTCTACTGGTCCTTAGTTTTTTGTTGCGCTGCTTTTCCTCGATTTTCTTACTGGTAATGACCACTTCAATTCGGTAGCATTTCTGTAAAAAAACTTCATTTAAATATATTATATAATATTTGGGCTCGAGACCTGGAGATATATAAAAAAAAAAAAAAGAAATGCATGAATTTTTTTACTTCTCGTTTCTGAGTTGGTTTTGACACCTCTGCAGGGACTAAACAGTAGTGCAAAGCTTGTAGCTCCTTTATTGATGATGCATTGCTGCAATCGAATCTCAGATTGGCGAATTAGGAGTTCATGCTGCGATTTATTAAAGCTCAAGTTGACACTTCACAAAATTTTGCTGGGATGTTCAGCAACTGATGATTCGGCAACAATAGTGGTTAGTAATGTCATTGTGTTGGACAGTAATGAATACTTGAAGGCCTCCATCGTTATCGCTGTGGACATAAAATTGTTCAATAGTGAATTTCCCATAAATGCCACTGAGTCTCTTAGCAATATTCAGCATATTTAGTCAGCAATAGTGCCCCATCACAGAGCACAAATTTAATTTCAGGGCTGACTTCATGGATCCCTCAATTCCTGCATAATTTAAACCCGTGTTTCTTCTTCCAGGACTGTGGAACCCATATATCTGCAAGTCCGAGGACATCTTCAGGGCCAATGTCCTCTGCCTGGAGCAAGCCATTCTGGACCCTGTCACACAAGTCACTGGCATTGTAGCCATTATGGACATGAAGGGTTTTGGCTTCACTCATATCAGGTTCTGCCCTCCAAGCAACCTCCAGAAGGTTGTCTCTCTCATCCAGGTACGTGCTGCAACATAGTTTGCTTATGATTAGGTTTTTTTTCTTCTTCTTGTTTTTCTTTAAGTCAGCCTTGTCTGCACGTGTTCCCCAGGACTGCTTTCCTGCAAGGTTCAAGGCAATCCACGTCATCAACGAACCTGCAATCTTCAGCATGATGTTCAGCATTGTCCGAAGGTTCCTGAACGAGAAGCTCCAGCAAAGGGTGTGTGCCTTTTCTTAAAATCTTCTTGTTGTACTTTATGATTTCACTTAATGTGTTCATTTAAGATTTTAAGGGCATCTGGTAATCATATACTTCTCTCGTTGATATGTTTCAGATACACTTCCATGGCTGTGACATGTCGTCCTTGCACCAGTTCATCCCTGCTGAGATCCTGCCGGAGGAGTACGGGGGCTTCAATGGACCCATGGATAACAGCGACTTCGTAGCTCGGCTGTATAGAAACGATGAGCTATTCAAGAAAGATTCCGAGTATGGTTACAAAACGCGTGTTAAAGCATGAGCATAGGGTAGTTAGTTTACCTTCACTAATTCCACGAATGCGTGCGTGTCTCATGTTGCGAACCATTGAAGTGACCCTGCTAGCACTTCTTACTGTACATGCCTTGTGTATGTTGTACAAAAATGTATAATAAATATGTGAATTGTGTGCCCATACGTGATATGCTTAATTTTTTCTTTTATTTAGCATTGACATCTTGAAATTAGAAATGTGTGCTTATACAGAGATGTTCTCAATAAGCAAGGTATTTCTGGTGCATGAAGTAAGTTTCATTATTGAAAAATATAGGTAGAGAATTGATAGTCAAATAGCTTTCTGCATTCCATGTCCCAATATCATGCATTGGGGACATTTTTTACAAAATTGATAGATTTCTAGTAGACCGATCTCACCGGCAGTTGCGCGGCACCACCGCTGCCGCGGTGCATTCTGGTAGTTGTAGTTCTCCAGTGTTCTGGCCGCGTCAATGCGCGTTGTACGCCCGACGTTTGGAAATTTGTAGGTTAGCACGAGACTTTTAATCGGGTATTTACTCGGTGTTTCAATGGGTGGCTTCCCCTGTAGTGTGCCAGGGTGCTACAATAACAGCACCAGGCAAGAAGGCATCGAATTTTATGTCTTCCCGAAAGAATGCAGCCCCCGAAAAGAGTGACTTATAAAGGTAGACAGAGGGGCAGGAGTTTTTCACTTCGTTTCGCAATTTGCTTTATGACCTTCATCCACCTACTGCACGTTAGCTAAAGAGTGTAAAATTGCAGGGCACAAGACATAGCGGGACGTGCCTAAGTATTCAGTTTCACCGCTAAATTTAGTGGGGGAACTATATTGGTGTTGAGGCCACGTGACGTCATTTTGTTCCGCCTGTACGATGCTCATCCAGATCGAAACGGGCACAGGTGGGGATTGAACCCAGGACCTTGGGTTCTGCACCGCGAGCTTACGCTCCACGCGCTCCGATCCCCCTGTCTTGGACGCCGTTTCCGCGATTCCCATAACGTCGTCATCGCCGGAGGCGGCTTCGTTTGCACGTTTAACAAAATTAGTGGTAAAAACGCCAATGCGAACGAAATGTGCTGCACGTTTGGACTAGGAGACGGAATTACAGGCGGCCTTCGCTGCCGCTGATGCTCAATCATTTCAATAACATTTATTAAACAACGCGCAACGTATTTCAAAAACGAAACCGAAAGAAGAAAGAGGCAGGAGGGCAGTACCTTTCTCCTGTCTGCCTGGGGAAGCAGAAAAACGTCTCGTTCCTCCCTTCTTCTCGTCTCCGCTTTGGGGCTCGTCAGTAGAAGGGAGGAACTGCTAGATTGGAGATGACGGGACATGGACGCCATTCAATTGCTACATTCTGCTGGGAGTGTACGGGGCAAAAGGGTCGTTTTATTCATAACTCAGGTCTTAAGAGTCCTAATAATGTGCTTAAATAATTTACGCAAGGTGTAAATGATTACCTTTCTATACCCACCAGTTTTGTTTCGATAGGTTAGGTATTTGTTTAACGCAAAAAATGGTAAATCCCGCCATCTTGTACGTTGCTGTTTGTATTTGTTTAAGGCCAAAAATGGTAAATTCTGCCATCTTGGACGTTGCTGCTTGTCTGGCAACCCTGCTTTCTCTTCTCGACAGCAATTAGCAGTTGAGCAGGGAGGCAATTAGTAAGTTGAAATTTGAACAAAGGTGGACCGAAATGGATGATACGCGGTGGGTACGTAAGGTATTTAAGTATTAATACATGAAAAGTTTAATCACAAAATGGACAAACCGAACCCGAAAGCTTACATTTAAATACCTACACACTGGTGATGCGGTTGAGCAGACTACTTCAGTGGGAAAGGGGGTGAAAGAGGCAGAGAGGAAAATGTGGGAGGGAAGAATGCAGGAGAAATCGGCTCTAACAGTGTACAGGTCACGAATGCAGGACATAAGAAAAGAAAATGTGTTTTACAATTCACTGGGAAGTTCTTTGCTGTTCGAGACAAGAACGAGAGTTTTGGGGATAAGGACGTATAGGGCTAAATTTCGGGAGATAGACACATTATGTGCTGCCTGTCATAATGAGAGTGAGACACTTGAGCACTTGGAATTAGAGTGCACGAAGCTTCGTCCTACCCTCCATGAAGGGGTAACAGATTTGGCTGGGGCCCTGGGCTTTGCTGGCGACGATGGAAGGACGGAGGAGAAGAGGATTACTGTCACAAAGAGGGGATTATAAGATTGGTGGCAATTATCTATGGAAAATTGAATGATGCACAACTAACTAGCACAGCTGGGGACAGGCGGGACAGAGGAAAATTTGGACTCCCTCCCGCGTGGCTCCGGCCCAAAGTCTGAACGCCGTTTCCCAGTAGGTCCGGTGCAGGGGTAACGCCGACAAGGTTTGACCACAGGAAAATTGGCGACACCCTCGCCGGGGGAAAGAGGCGAGGGGGGGGGGGGGGGGTGATGTTTTTAGTTTGTTTGCCCGATCCGGCCGAAGGACCAGGTCATCCTGGTGATAGTAGGGGGTAGAAAATTGGCTTAGAAGGGCGGGAGGAATCAAATCAAATGTTGGTCTTTCTTAGACTTAGGCTAGGTGGCGCAAGCTACCGCCCGTTAGAAAGGGTATAGCCAGTAGCATCCATCCATCCATCCGTTTGCAATTCCCGGAGCGAGAAGGAAGCGACTACGCTAAGGCGTTCGTTGCTTGCAGTGGGAGGCGACAGGCTTTCAATATACGTTATTAGATTAGCTCAGTTACGGAACTGCTCATAGACGCTGCGTGCACGAACAGTACCCCCCCCCCCCCCCCCCCTCACTCACCACGATTCGCCTGGTGTCACTCTACGCGCCGCCGGACGGCTGCTTTCGTAACTGCAGTGTATTATATGGGAATCGGGATACGTACGTTTCAACGTTACTAGGACTGTACTAGAACCCTCAGTTGGGAAACTCGCCGTCGAAACCTGGGCCGCTGGCGTTCACCGAGACCGAGCTAAATACAACAGCGCCACTCTTTATCATTTGCCTTTACTGTGGTCACCTTGAGCTTTTAAAAAGCATGTTTCCGCGTAAAAACTAACGAAAAAAAAAATCTCTTCTTGTATACTTCGCGAGAACTTATCTTGGCAATGCAGTTTAAAGTACAGGCCTGCGTCCCCTCTCCCATCTTGAGTGTACGCAGGCTCTCCTCCTCCCCCATTTCCGGGGAGAGGAGGAGAGCCCCCGCACACTCAAAATGGGAGAGGGTACGCGGGACGTACCTTCCACTGCATTGCCAAGAAAAGTTGTCGCGGAGTATAGTAGCTTTTTTTGGAGTTTGGTACAAAATGAAGGGGGCGTGATGTTTTCAAAAATCTTTAGTTTGCAAGGTTTGGCAACACAATTAATATTGTTTTTATACAACCATGCCTCAGCGGTGATTTCAGGTAGCGCGCCCCGACCTAGGTGCATCTTAACTTCGGTGGTATTTCGCGGCGCGTCCGCTTGGGAAACGGGGGAGGCACCCCTTTTGGAGTGTGAACTGCCGCTCCTTGGGGATTGTGTGTGAGTTCCTGCGGCGCTGGTCGTGCCGGTACCTGACGGTGCTCAACGGCTAGGTACATTTGACTTCCCTGTACTTGGACATGTTGTAATACGGGCGCTCTGGTTCCGCCTTGCCAGCTGTGACGGCCGGAGTGATCATTGCGTCGCGTAAACATTGTTTTGTGAAGAGCATGCATCACATGTGACCTTGTAACATTGTAAAAACTGGCAATGGTGTCAAATAAAATTTTTCTTGCCCTGAAACCCCTTCCATCGTATCTGTTTCGGCTCCGAAATGGCCGACTAAAGCCAAAATAGATGTCACGTGCAGTTCCTTGGGCGGTTGCTGCGGGAGAAATGGCGGCGTTGTGATGGCCATTAGCTCGGTTCTCGATTACGGATCGGTGCCACTATTTCAGAGCAGCCTCTATGAGAGTTTCCCAACTGAGTCGTTCTAGTCCCGTTGGTACGTTTCGAAGCTCGGCGTCTAGATGGCGCTTCAGCTCTGCTCTTTGGAATGCACAGTTATGAAACGGATAATCTAGATGGCGCTTCGAACGACAGCAGGCGATTGAAGTGAGTGACGGGGGGGGGGGGGGGGGGGGGTACCCCCTTCCGCGGGAGTTCCATAACTGAGGTAATCTAGTAATGCTTTAGAGTCGAATCGGTTTCACCTGCTGGATTAACCACAATTCAACTGAAAGGGGCAGCGGTTCAACTGCGCCCTTTGTCTCGGCAGTCTCGATAGCAGCGCAGCCATCTTGTTTGTGGACGTGACGTCAAGGAGCCCGATGTCCCTCGCGCTCCGAGAAATACTCGGAGAAGGAAAAGCGCGCTCGAGTGTCAGTCTCCGGCGGCACTCCCGTCCGTTTAGAGAAGGGAGCGCCGAACTCTCGCGCTCCAGAGAAGGGAGCTAAAAATGATAATGAATCAAAACTTTAAAATATGCAGAAAACATTAATAGATAAGTCAGATAGGATCACTTAAACCTGTAATTGATAATCGAATGGTCGTATTTTAAGCGGATGGCTATATTTTTCGTTCTAAATGCCTGGATTTTGGCGAGTGCTTCAAAATCAGCCGTGGAAGAGGGTGATGCATCTCAATATATCCGGCATATCCGGCGTGATCTTCACGTCATTATGTCACGGAGGGTCAACCGTACCTATATAGGCATCAACGCGTTACAAATTCGCTTAGTCGAAGTGTACCCGAGGGCTGTAGCATATCGCGGAGCCGGCGGAGCGCTCGAAGCTGCCTCGAGTGTGCGGTCGCCGACCAACGCGACGAGAGCGGTGGGTATGATGGTATTATTGAGGACGTCACGACGACCAACGTGCATTTCTATGTGCTCTCTGTGCGCGTCCCAACTTCAAGCAGCAAGATAAAAAAAAAAAAAAAAGTACTTCAAACTGAACGCTGCGGCGGAGACAAACTTCGGAACCGCGGTTACCTGAAAAAGCTACAACGGCAAAGATCCCACCGACCATGCGACCACCAAGGACTATCTAGAAACAGTGGGCTCACTAGCAAACCACTTTGACGAACCGGGACAAGACTATCTGCACACTACCAGCTGGCTCGACGAATGGAATATACCCAGGCGACCTTTATGGACCCTTCCCATACGAATAGTTTGAGCTCTGACCTGTA